AAAGATGTCATGGATCTCTGGTGGCAAATGCTAAGGTTACCTAAATGAGAAGAACATTTGCTAAACTTCAGCAGGCATTGTTGTTTCACCTAAAAAAAGGGGGTGGATCTTTAAGGATAACACGGTTGGATTTTTAAAACAAATTGAGTGTGGACTTAGGTTACATCTCTAATGATGTCTAACCATATTATTTTAGAAAATGTAACCACTCTAGAAGGTTAAATGTTTATCACTTACTTGCCTGGGATATTGTCAAAAGAATCAGCGAAAGACACTCTGCAAAGTATTTTTGATATAATCACCTTCATGGTTATTGGTCCAAAATTTGAAGAACTCTAAAGTTTTAAGTTAGCTGAGCCTAGCAGAGCAAGAACAAGAACAAGTAGAGGGTACACATTACAGGAACATAAGCCTTCAGAAAGAAATGAGTACAATTAAATTGCAACACTTATCTTGTTCCCTTCCTTTTAATGGGACAAGTCTCTTGGCTTACCTCTAATTGAGCTCATCTTTGATGAGTAGAGTGTATGATGTACAACAATATCATTTTTTTTTACCAAACTTAGAACAACAAACAGCAGGTTGGGCATGGTGGCTCATGCCTGTAATCCCAGCACTTTGGGAGGCTGAGGCCAGCGGCTCACCTGAGATCAGGAGTTCAAGACCAGCCTGGCCAACATGGTGAAACCCTGTCTCTACAAAAATACAAATTTAGCCGGGCATGATGGCGGGTACCTGGAATCCCTACTACTGGGGAGGCTGAAGGGGGAGAATCACTTCAACTCGGGAGGTGGAGTTGCAGTGAGCCGAGATCACGCCATTGCACTCCAGCCTGAGCAACAGAGTGAGACTCCATCTCAAAAAAATTTTAAAAAGGACAGGAAACAGCAGATGTGCAACTAAGATAATACTATCATTTTTAAAATTTTCTTTATTTATATTTATTTATTTATTTATAGACAGGATCTTGCTCTGTCACCTGGACTAGACTGCAGTGACACAATCATAGCTCACTGCAACCTTCAACTGCTGGGCTCAAGTGATCCTCCCAACTCAGCCTCCCAAGTTGCTGGGACAACAGGCACAGGCCTCATCTAATTATTTTTTTTCTTGTAAAGATGGGGTCTCACTATGTTACCTATGCTGGTCCCAAGCTCCTAGGCTCAAGCAATCCTCCTGCCTTGGCCTCTCAAAGTGCTAGAATTACAGGCATGAGCCACTAGCCCCAGCCTATTTTTCATTTTTAAAACCACATATATTTGTAACTATAAGAAAAAACACAGGAAAAAAAACAGGCACATAGATTTATTCATCATGAAACTTCTTTCCTTTCAAGTTTAATTCAGTGTGAAAGCCATTTCTGTGAAACCCAGTTGATATTAACCTTAACTCAATGTTATTTTGAGTTGAAGATAAGAGAGGAGATAGAGTTGGAAGCTGCTTTTTTCGAATTGCGTAAGATGAATAAAAGTGCTTGAGCGAGTGTATCTCTTTAAGATCAACGACCCTAATAAGGCTAATTACTCTAACCCTCTCCCTCTAAATTTAAAAAGACCTTGGTAACTGGAAGGACCACATGAGTAACCAGCTGACTGGCTACGATAAGGGTGGTTGGTACTTCCAGGTCTCCCCCTCAGTTGTCTCTTTGTCACCTGGAGAATATACTGTATGTGCCTATGAGCTGCATCTCGAAGGGCTGGGAGATTCTTTCATGAAGATTGATAGCAGTGGTACAAAGATGGGGAAATACATTTTAGGTCTTAATGAGCTTGTACTTCTTGGGAAAATGTGGAATGGCATTGGGATTCTAGGGACTCGCTGTTATGGGACAGTCTAGATGACATCGTCTTGCTTTCTTTCAAACCATAGCCCAGGCTTCCTGCTGAAGATGGGGCCATCTTCGTCTTCCAAAGTGGCATTCTCCATCGGAGACTCTTTATTAAAATGAAAATTAGTTGATCAAAATTGTTATTTTTTAAACTTCTTCTCCTTATACTACTTATATCTGTCTGAATCTGTTTGTGACTATTATTTAGGGGCATGAATATTTTCTCATGCTGTTAACAGGAACCTCTCTTCATCATAATACAACTCCTAGTCACATGCTGCTTTTTTTCTTGCATTCTTGTTCCCCATCTCACAATAGTAAATTTACTTATTTCTTGTGCTGTAATAACAAACATGTCACGGAAACCAAAACTTAATTTGTTTCTTTTTAATGAAGTTACATAATGTTTAATGAAAAATTCTGCTAGTACGCATATAAATGAAACAACACTTCAGACACATGAGGTGGTTTATATATTTTGGGTCAGGAATAGGATTCCTGGGAATTCATCCTAAAGAAATAATTAAGCAAATGTGAAAACAAACAAACATAGTGTTTAAAAGGCAACTATTGTCAATTATTTAAAAACTATTAAAAGCTATCCAAATGTCCAACTATAGGAAAATAGCTAAGTAGATGTTACACCATTGAACAGGACAGGACCATTCACCAGATATTTAAAAATATAATTATTAAGGTGATATAGAAAACCAAATACTTTATAGTTTAGTGTTAATTTTAAAAGCCTTATATAAAATAATATGCTATGTTTTATCATTGTGATTATATAAAACTATGTAGATAAGAAACAAATGATCATGTACAAAAAATGCTATAAAGTGATGTTAGCAAACTTTTTTCTTCAGAAATCTATATTATCATCTCATTTTTTGTTTAAAATTTAATTGTAATGATTTTTTAAAATCATAAAGTATGCTAATTTTCATGTGTTAAATCTATGTGTCTACCCTTCAATACTTCTGACTAAAGATGGTAAATGTTGACCGAAATAAAATTTATAATTAAATTTTTTTTTAATTTACAAGACTTGTAAGTGTAGAACAAATTTAAATAATGCTTCAAATGATGTTTTCATAAGCTTGTAGCATCTGTAATTAAAAATTTTAAAGCTTAATTCTGCACCAAGACTTTTGGTTTACTTGTCTGTAAGTATACACATGTACAGTTTTACTGCAACTACATGAGAGTAGATTAAAGACAGTTTGCCTGTCTAATAAAAATAGTAGGAAAATAGTATCATCTTATATTACCACAGTGCAATGATCAAAGTCAGAAAAATTGACATCATTTATTACTATCATCTAATCCATAATTTGTATTTAAATTTTATCAAATGACTCAATGTTTCTATAACTAGGATTTTTTTTTTTCTGGTATGTAGGAGGCAATTCAGGATCATATGGTGCATTTAGTTGTCTTAGTTCCTTCATCTTCAGCTGTAGAGTATCTTTCAACTGAGTGCGCCTGATCTTTTCTCATAACTAGACTCAAGTGAAGAGTTTTAGTACATACCACAGAAATGACGAAGTAACTTTCTTCCTTTCATTGTTAATAAAAATTGAAATATAAAACTTGTCTTAAATTGTTAATTATATGGAATTGTACTCAAAAAAGAGTTGTCACTAGAGGTAACTCAAAAAGTTTGACTTTGAGAGATTACTCTGACAAGAGAATGCAAGATGAAAGCAAAGCAAACTGTTCAGGCTCCTCAGATCAGTAAGTGAGGCAAATCTTTCCACCAAATACGGGGTTTGGGTGGGTTTAATTTCCAGAAGTATGATTATAAACCACATGTCTTGGGCTCAGAGAGCAATGGTGAGGGGTATTCACATTTGAAATATAGCTTGGACCAGAAAACTTGGCCCATCCAAATGATGCTTTCTCCTGCATCCAAGATCATTCCCATCCCTCTCTGACTTGTAGACCTGCTCAGCCTCAGCTCATCATTCTTTCCCAAATAACCCAGCCAGAGAACAGCTGCAGGGCCAGGACATCAAAGCCAAGCTGCGGTGGGTGCACGACTGCAGCTCTGCCATTACCAGGGATGACTCTAGAGACAAGAAAGTCACAGCTGGGTGCTCAGATCTCAAGAGGGGACTACAGTCCTGGCAATTACAGAATGTATCAATGAGTTATATGATGAGAAAATGTCTTCTGGATGTCATGGAGAAAAAAAATAAAGAGAAAACCCCAGGATCTTGTGTTTTACAGACTCCTTTGTGATTGGAGTCAAACTCACAATAACCCCTTTGCTTTCTGCAGCCACTTCTTCTGGGACATGATGCTACTTGACGTGTTTATATAGGTTTCTTTGTGCAGTATTTAAAAGCAAATCTCTAAAGCAAGTTACATTTGAGGAGATATGGGTTGGGTTGATTTTTTTAAAAGAGTTCACTTAATCCTCAAAAACTGCTGTTGACTTTTCTGCCTGTGCTTCTGCTTATTTACCCCATTTACAATGCATGTTTGCTCAACAAAAGAAGCAGACAATCATCCTTACACATTCACATCTGTGACACACAATCTGACTACTTCTAACCTTTCGATTATGATTTTCATAAAATCCTAAGTGAATAGATACTATATTTTCTGCTGCTCTTGCCACCATGATGCTTGAAGGCTTCTCATTTATATTTCTAGCTGAGCTTCATCAAACAGGAGCAGGCAAGGGGGATTCACCTAATGCCAACCCTCTCAATATCTTAAAAATGAGAAAAGATAAGCATGGAAAAATCAAGGGAAAAAAACTGAGATATAGCAAAGCTCCCTGGCAGAAGTTGAAATAGACTAACTCTGCTTTTAAGGCAAAGAAAAGGAGTCAGGCTTCCCTGCTTTGCAAAACCATATAACAAGACTGCCCTGGGAGTCCTCATCAAATAATCTGAAAGAGAAAAAGGAGAGGTAAAGGGCAACCCAGGCAGAGAGATAGTAAAAACACAGGCCAAGAGAAGAAAGAAAAAAAAAACTTGAGATATTGTATAAGTTAGCTATTGCTAACTAATAAGCCACCCCAAAATTTAATGGCTTAAAGTAATGTAGCATTTTTCACCAGGTATGAGCTGGCAGGGCAGTTCTGCTGATCTGATCCGGCTTACAGGACTCACACATGCATCTGTGGTTAATTGCCAGTCAGGTTGGTGGTGACTCTGACCTTGGATGGGCTCCGGTACAGATGTAGAGCCTTAGGTAGAAGAGCTGGGCTGATGTGGCTCTGCTCCATGGGTCTCATACTGCAACAGGCTGGCCCACACAAAGCCTCATGACAAAGGCAGAGGAGTGACAGGGAGAGTAAAATCATGCAAGGTCTCTTGAAGTCCAGGTTCCCAACTGTCACATCATCACTTTCATTGCATTCTATTGAGCCAAGCAAGTCACAGGATAGCCTAGATTTAAGGGGAGAGCTGCAAAGTTACATTGCAAAGGGCATAGATTCAGATATAGAATTGGGGTCATTTTTTTGCAATCAATCTACCACAGAAATGCTTAGGGAAGAGCTGATGGTCAAATATGCATAAACACTATGACTATCAATGAAGGGTAGTGTTGGGGAATGAGACTGGTCGTGTAATTAAAGGCATAACTAGGTTTAATGCATTTTCACCTGATTGCCAATGAGAAAGTCTGAGCACAGAAGTGTTAAGATCAGGAACATTAACCTTGCAACACTGTAGAATTAATTGGAATGGGAAGAAACTATAGGTGGGGAGCTCAGTTTTGAGACTGTTGGAGGGCAGGGGTGGGGATTAATGTGAATTGGACCCCTTGTCTCAGTGGTGGGGTAAAGAGAGGTCCATCTCTGGGCTGCCTTGTGGTAGTGTCTCAGTTCCTGCCAATGGCAGGATCATGGGGTTCTCAGTGGCTAAGGAGGGCAGCATTAGTGTATCAGAAGCACACTTCCAGCTACAGAGGAAGGAGAGGCTCAAAGGGTCAAGCCGCCTGGGATAAAATGACTTAAGGATAGTCAGAATAGTGAAAACCTTCAGTAGTCTTCTGGATCTAAACCAAGGAGGACAAAAGGCTTTAATAAGAGTTGCTTGGGTCTGACAACTTGGACTCCCTAAAATTACTGAAAGAGACAGAGCAAAAGTTACAATTCTATATATAAGCTATGCTTCAGAATTTCTCTTTCTATGACAGTATTCTGAATTGAGTGTTCACTTTATATCCTGGGCCCATCCTAGACACTGTGGCTCCTGAAAAGAAAGTAAAAGTCACATTTTTTCTATCCCTGGTCCATCTGTTCATCTGGAGTTGCCCTCCCTATAAAATATCCTCTGAGATCCAATTCCCACCACATAGATGACAGATATAATGAAGTCACTTATTCTATATAGAGATCTTCTAGGTAAATAAAAATTACTAATTTACTATTTAAAACAAATGAGTACAGAATAGTTATTTGTTCACCTGATGATTGTCCTCAGCCTCAGTTGAACTTGTTAGCTCTCCTTCCAAATTTCTTCTTTTCCTATATAGAAACATGTATCACTGATGAAAAGTAAGACATTATCATTAGTAAACAAGCCTGGTGAGGAGGCCAGAGGATGCCTTGGGTGTGCTTCAAACCCCACTTGCCTCCTAACACAATGTCCTTCAGCCTCCCAAGCCATCCATATAAATGTACTCTTTGAACAAAAACATTGTGCTTAACACGCAAACAGGACTTTGGCCACAACCTGTCATCTTCGTCTTTGTGGAGACTGCTTTCCCAAGCCTTTTCTCCATGGAAACTCTTGAACTGTCATCAGCTGAGGCCTCAATGATTGGCTTCAATGCATACTAATATATGTATGTGTATATGTGACAGCTGAACAGATATAGAAAGGAGATTAGATAGAAAGATAAGTAGATAGACAGATAGATAGACAGACAGACAGAAAAAGTTGGCCAAAATAGTTCTTAAAGAGACAAATGCTATCTTTTCCTTGGACCTCACATCCACTATACCCCCAAACCAGTCATACCACCATATCATCTAGTCTATTAAAATTATCACAATCTGTCCTGGCTCTTTAACTTTCCATCTGCTGTACCTCTGACTGTAGTATTTTAAAATTTCATTTAGTCATGGTTTTCTGTAGGGCCAGTAGTGTCCTCTTATGGCATATCCCAGTAGACCTACTAGGAACATCTGCCCTATTGATTGGATAGCCTCTTGCCTTCCCACCCTGAAGGTGCTTTTGGCATAAGACTATATAAAGAAGTTATAGTGTGTGTGTGTGTGTGTGTGTGTATATACACACACACATATACTATATAAAGAAGTTCTGTTGACTAATTGAATACATGAAAATATGAAGTCGGTGTATTTGACATCAAGGTTGAATATATAGTACATTTTCTGATAGTAGGCAGCTTGGCACACAAGAGAAAATCTGAGTTTTACCTCTGGCTTTTACACGTACTCTTTATGTGACCTTAAGCAAGCTACCTAATCCTTTCGAACCCCTTTCTCTTCATCTTTAAGTTGACAGATATTAATGGATACCTCATAAGGCTGCTGTGAAAAATAAGATAAAGGATAAAAAGTGTTGACCAAAATATCTATCACATTTTGGTTATACAGCAAGTGAACGCTTCTTTCCTCTTAATTATGTGAATGCATTACTTCATTGAATTTAAAATATAGAAGAAAAGATGTGGAGGAAGGAAGGGGACTCTCTAATGCAAGATACTCTTCATATAAATTGTAGCTTCTAGTTTGTAGAGGTCTCCACCATTGATTGATCAAGAGTAGCATTTTACACTTTGTTCCAATTGCCTATTGCTGCACAACAAATGATCCTAAAATTTAGTGATTTAAAGTAACAACATCATTTATTTTGCTAACAAATCTGTAATTTGGGCTAGGATCATTGGCACAACTCTACTCTGGTTCACCAAGCATCAACTGGAGTGGCTCAAATACAGGGCCTATCATTTAGTGAAAGCTCATTCACTCGCATGTCTGGCAGTTGTTGCTGGTTATTGACTGGAACCTCACCAGCCTTTCCATGTGGTCACTTCTTCGCAACATGCAGTTGGGTTCCAAGGTTGAGTGTTTTAAAAGAGCCAGGTGGAAGCTGTATCATCTCTCCAATTCAGTTTCAGAAATCATATAGTGGAACTTCCACCATAGTCACAGCTCCATGGAGATTTAAGGGTAGGCCATACACACCTCGTGTCTCAAACGTCACCCTGCAAGCATGTGGCAGGGAATATATTGGTATAATCATCTTTGGAAAACACAATCTTCCATATTCTACAATTAGAAATTGACTCTGTGAGGAAGGCTTACGGCTGTGTTCCTTTTTGGAGTCACTTTATGCTTTGTGCAGCAATCTTTGGAAAATACAATCTTCCATATTCTACAACTAGAAATTGACTCTGTGAGGAAGTCTTACGACTGTGTTCCTTTTTGGGGTCACTTTATGCTTTATGCAGCAATCACATTGGGCTGACTGCATACAATGGGTTATGTTCTTCCTACTGTGGTAAAAGAGGTTTCCAAAACCTAGGAGATATTTCTTTAATCAAAACAAAATATCTTTTTGTTTATTTTATTATAAACATAACACATTCTTTTTTAATGGAAAAAAGGCAGAAAGTAAAAAGAGGAAATCAAAGGAGAAGAAAGAAAGGAAAGAAGGGAGGAAGAAAGGAAGAAAGAAACAAAGCAAGGAAAAAAATTGGAGGTACTTATCTATCAAATCTTCTAAACAGAATCACCTTGTACATAGCCCTGAAAAGTTTGTTTCTTTATAAAATTTAATCTTTACATGACATAGTGGTTTACTTTATGAATGTATTAGAATTTATCTAATACTTCCGGTTGATGTATACCTCCATTGTGTGCAATTTCTTACTACCATAAAAATACACGACAATGCTTTTTCTAATCCAACACATTCCTGAACACTGATCATAGCATTTTCTTAAGCCTTAAATTAAATTGCCTATGAATTTTAAATTAGTTTTCTTTATAAAGGAAAGTGTAAGATTTCTGGCCCAATTTTGTCCTCAAGGACTCCCTTGGTAACATCCCCACTCCCCTAATTATTTCAAGTCTCACTTATTTCCAGCAGCCTTGGTAAAAACGACAACTTGTATTTTGTTGCTATATATCTGCACATAAATTTTTATGAATATGGTCATATATGAACCAATCTGTATAACTATGTCAGGCATGATACTAGTGTTTTATGCAAATTATTTTACTTAATTTTCAAAACAACTGTATAAAGCAGGTATTAATATCCTTATCTTACTGATAATAAAACAGACTCAGAGCAGTTCACTCTGAGTTTGAGCCTGACAGCAGAGTTTTCGCCTAACTCCCTTTACATTATGTAACACTGTATTCCCACTGAAATGTGTATAAAATATCAGGCAGAAACAAAGAGAAATAGCGTATTTATATACAAAGCAGTGAGTCTTTCATGGAACTCCTTATTACTCTCTTAAATTTTTGCAATGTCTTTGAAAGAATGTATCACCCAATCAGTTGTAGACTCTTCATGTCTGTTTTCTCTGACTGCTCAGCTTCAAGGACATAGCAGATGAATCTGCCTGACCTTGGCTCTGACCTTGGCCCTGTGTCTCACTCACTTTCTCCTACCTTCAACTCTGCATCTCTTTTCCTCTTTGTTTCCATTACTGATTCTCTTGTTTCCTCTTGCCCTCAGCAGTAGGCCTTCCCAAAGCCAGACATCTCTTCCTTTTTTTTTTTTTTTCTTTGAGACAGAGTCTCGCTCTGTTGCCCAGGCTGGAGTGCAGTGGCCGGATCTCAGCTCACTGGAAGCTCCGCCTCCTGAGTTCATGCCATTCTCCTGCCTCAGCCTCCCGAGTAGCTGGGACTACAGGCGCCCGCCACCTCGCCCGGCTAGTTTTTTGTATTCCTTTAACACATCCTGGGACAGCTCATCCATTCTCATGGCTTTACACATCACTTCTATGCTAATGACTCCTAAATTTACATTTCCAGCCCCATCTTCAATCAAAGCAAACCCTCGTTAATTACTGAGTTCCTGTTCCTTGTCTCTAGTTGCCCACTGGACACATTCAGCAGGAATATCTTACTGTTACCACATGCTTAAAACCAAAAACATCATCTACTCACCAAAATGGGGTCTCCCTCTTTAAGTCAATGGCACTATCCTTCCATTCTTTGGGTGACACCTGCTGTCTCCACCTTAATTCTGGAAATACACTATAAACACAATGCTTCCTTTATTAATTTAATTGGTATTGTTATACTAAAGGAAAAATATTTGATGTATCTTCAAGATGTTTCTCTAATCTTTAGCCGAATTCACAAGATAAATACTGTTCAGCTTTTCCTCCTCCGAGGATGATGATGATGGTAATGGCTAACATTTACTGGCCCCTTTTTATGAATGAGGCACAGTTTTTAGTACGTCACATATGTTAGCACATGTTGAATTCTACCAAAGAGCCTGATGCGATCTCCATTATGCAGACTGGGCATCTAATGCCAGATCACAGCAGCATGATTTGACTTCATCACCTTTGCTCTCCTCATGTATTAACCCCTCTTTTACCTTTCCTTTAGCTTTCTCAGAACTGGGCAAAAATGTAATCACTTTTAATTTATCAGCCAGCTTAGCTCCCTTTTCTCTTCCACATGTTTAGTTTCTTCTTGTCATTACCAACATGGATCCCCTGACTTCCCAGGCTCACTAGTCTCCTGAATAGTTGCCTCTTCTGCTTGTCAAATGCCACCATACTGATGTGAGCCTTTGTCCTCTCCCCTGACCTCACATCCCTCCTGGCTTTGGCCTCCTTCTTCCATTGTCCCTTAGCTATAATCTATCCTGCATGCTATTTACCAGACAAATTCTCCATGCACAGCCTGTTCGCCTGACAGTCCACTTCTGCTGGGACAAAACAAATGGCCACGTTTCTTAGCTTGCTCCCAAATCTACCCTCAAATATTATACCACTGGTTATGAAAGATTTTACCCTATGTACTTTTATTTTTTTTAATCTGAAGCATTTTACAATCTATACCTATGATACAATTTCATTGTACTGTATATGTATCATAAAAATGAGTGCATGTAAAAACTGGTAAAATCTGAATAATTTATCTAGTTTAACTCATAGCTGATTGTACCAATGTCAGTTTCCTGGTTTGGATAATAATAATTAATAATAAACTAGAGCTCTGAGAAATGTCCTCATTGAGGGAAGCTAGGTAAAGGGTACATGGGAACTCATTATACTATTTCAGAAACGCATTAGAAGGCTTGTTTATTTCAAAATAAAAGTAAAAAGTACCCTAGGTCATTTTTATGGGAAGCAACACCCCAAGTTGTTATTATTGGGATGAACTACAATGAAAGGAAGAGAAAAGCTTTTCCTTTTCATGCTACATAGTTCTGCAGTGTCTGAATGTTTTGCTAAATTAATATATCCATGTAGAAGTTGTATACGAATAAGATAAACAGTCTCAGAAAAAAATCAAAAGCTTTGTTAGTGTAAATGTTATGTTTGGTTTTCAAATGTCTAACTACTTATCTGCTTACTACAACTCGACATCATTTTGTATTATTCACAAATGTGGTCCTTTTAGTCTGATCATGTAGATCATTTTAAAATTCTAGAGTGCATACCTTATCCACCCCTGTCTTTTGTTGCTTTCTCTGTTGACAGCTCTGTGGATTTGGCTATGTTCTCTAAGATGACTTCCAAATATGTCTCCTCTAGCTCTCTTGCTCTCTCTCTCTTTTTTTTTTTTTTTTTTTTTGAGATGGAGTCTTGCTCTGTTACCCAGGCTGGAGTGCAACGGTGTGATCTTGGCTCACTGTAACCTCTGCCTACCAGGTTCAAACAATTC